CTGTCAGCCGCGAATGCCCTCTATCTTACGATAATTTGTTCTTGAAAGAGAGAGATGAAGGACGATGTAGGCAGAGGTCAGAGTAGATCTAAACTGCCTGCTTCATAGTCATAAGTAAGGACACGAAGTGTTCCAAAGGCGGTCTAGAAGCCAAGTGGATTTAAAGTGACGCACTGAAGGAGGAGAAGGAGGCATATGCTGCACCAGCAATGACTTGTAATGAACGACACTTCTTGACGATGAGGCCACTTATGCCAATGACCCACTCAGCGATGGTGATGGTACAGTCTGCATACACTCCAGCTAGGTAGCAATGATGCGCTTACGTGGAGTGTTAGGCTACTGCTAATGTCAAAGTCCCGATTTTGGGGACGTGTCAGTAGGGTGAGGCAGCTTATTGCAAGCTGCAACAACTTACCAAGTTCTCAAGCTTCAATATCCTTTAGCAGTACTTCAAATGACAATTATTCCGCCTTCTTGACTTACTGAGGAAGTGAAATGCAGCTATTCCGAGTAGGAGGACACCCAGTTCCTAATCCAATGCCAAGACCCCATTAATCAGTCAGTCTACTTTTCTTCCGTATATATCCATTCAAAAGTGGAAGGAAAGTCGTCCGCCTTTCGTTGTTTATCCATGATCTATTGCACACAGCCTTCACTTCCTCGTCTCAACTACTGACCCGATGCATACATAACTATTTAACTTTTAATGATTTAAGCAAAATCAACAGGTCATAAATAAAGATGTGTTCGTTTGATGTCATGAAAGATCAAATGCTGCAGCTAGAACACTTCTAGGTATCTGCTGCTATTTTGCAAATTATGAAGAGCCAATGGGTGGGAAAATGGAAACTATCAGGTTCTGTATAATTAAGCTTCCTACAAACCATCACAGATTTCAGCGAATTCACCGTCTTTGGCCAGGAAGAAAGCCATCTTGCCAGTCACTTTAATCACTGCGTGTACATCAGCTCCTAGAAAAAAGGGGTAGTGCAAAACTGATGATATCTGCCAAGGAACATTAGATGTGATATTCGGGAATTAGCGATGGCTTGTTCGTATCTTGCTCCAGGAAGTTGTGTAGCAGCTAATAACCAATGCTTAAAGGGGTCGAATTGTGGAGGAAACACTACCCACCAGCAGTCAGGAGAGCAGTGATTGCATTTACATTTCCATTTTTCCTGGTCTTTATGGCTGATGTGTTGCCATGGTGGCCAACGGCCTCAACATTGGTTCGTCGGAAAATGAGAAGGCGAATGATTAATGCATCACCACCACGAGTGGCTGCATGAAGAGGATTTCCAATTGAGGTGCATGGGAGATCAAGGGGCGCACCGCCGACCTGTGTCTGACTAACGCGGCCTGCGAGAGGAATGTGTACAATTTCCGTCTGCGATACTCCATTGGAACTTTCACCACCAAAATGCGGTCCTATATGCCAACGTTACCCTTGACAGAAGTCATCCATTTGACATTTTGCAAGGGCGTCGTCACCATGTGCATTATCATGGAGTTGTAATGCAGGAAGTTGATTGTCACTCACACAGGCATTGGGCAAACAGAGTGGAGTAGCCACAAACCGTTTGATCACCGAACATGAGGCCTGTATCATCGGAACTGTTCACTTCGGGTGTCACGGAGA